GTTAACTCTCATAATGCAACTCATTAAGGACAGAGGTCCTGCATGGGGAGTTAGTGCACAGTGACTCCTGTTTTACACTTATTTCTTACACGCCAGGTTTTATAACACTTTTGGATAGTGAATTGCCTGAAATCTTTGCAAAGGTTTCAATTTAGTTTTTATTTTTTTAACTCAATCTCTTTAAGTACTCATATTTTATTGGTTCTCATTAAATGCAAATTAATTACAACAGTATTACAAATAGCATGGGTAGGTTTGGAAACAAAAACAACTTTGGCTTTTTATAACAGAAGCTGTCAAATTTTAACAGTCATCAATATCACCTGGCTGGCTTGTTAAAACACAGATTCCTGGACCCTCTGCCTGGAGTATCTGATTCAGTAGGCCTGGGGTGGGACCTGAGAATTGCCATTACTGACAACTTCCTAAGTGATGGTTGATGCAGCTGGTTCATGGCCCACACTTTGAGAGCTAATATTTTATGGTTGCACACCTCAGTCAATGGAAGCACACAGGTGTTCCAATTACCTGGAACATTTACTGCGCTCTGGGCAATAGGTTCCAGATTGTTAGAGGGAATGAAAATATTGACTGATCAGGAGTTGGTGAAGTGTAGATCAGTTAAAAGGGCTTCTTCTGTACAACTTTGTTTGCTTGTTTTTACAATTGGGCCGACATTGGATACTCTATTCTATAGCATTCTGGGAAAAGGTAAGTTTGGAGTACGTGCTTACACTTAAATCTTAAGCAAAGCCTCCAGTTTCTCACCAGTCTAAATATTGGGGCCAGAGTACTTATGGGTTTTCCTCCTGCAAGACAGAGATGACTGGGCTCATCCCCAGGTTGTAAAAGGGGACGCCTCAGAGAGCTACAGTCTGTTTCTGTGTTTCAGGCAGAGGGGCCTGACCACTCAGGATTGTAGCACATAAGTGTCCTAGAACGTAGAAGTCAGATTAGGAGCTCCTCTCTTGCAGGGGACACTAAAAAGTATGTAGCCAGGCATAGAACTGGCTGGCAGACAGCAAAGACCAGTATCAGGAACTGGGAGATTTTCAAGGTAGTGGGTCAGGCCCAGCATGAGCAAGTTGAAGGCTGGAACCACCTACTGCTGATACAGGCCACAGCATGACTGACTCCTGTGACACACAGACTGGGGCATGTGCCAGGGCTTGGTACTTCTTAATCTCAATGTCCCCAGTGTCATCATTAATTTGTCTAACAATCCATTAGTTCTTGAAAGATGAGAAATGAACTTAGAAGGATTTGGTGCTAACTCAATATTTATGTTATGACTCAACCCCTGCAACTGGCTAGCGGCTCCTGACATCCAGACCTTGAGACAATGTGAAAGTCCCGTTCTCACCACAAAGACATACGTATAAAACCCACAAATACTAGGGGCTACTAGGGTTCTTTAGAGGGTAAATTTACAAAAACCATATTCTGTATTAAAATGTAATGAAGCCTGGGATCAAAAGAATAAACACAGCATAGTTCATTACCCTTTAAAAATCTTTATTTTTCCCTATTCATCCTTATATTATTACTGTGTTAAATGGGTCACAGTCTTCTCCATACATGGTTCTTAAAAGTTGTCCACGTATGGCCAGCGCCGCGGCTCACTAGGCTAATCCTCTGCCTTGCGGCGCCGGCACACCGGGTTCTAGTCCCGGTCGGGGCGCCGGATTCTGTCCCGGTTGCCCCTCTTCCAGGCCAGCTCTCTGCTGTGGCCTGGGAAGGCAGTGGAGGATGGCCCAAGTGCTTGGGCTCTGCACCCCATGGGAGACCAGGAGAAGTACTTGGCTCCTGCCTTCGGATCAGCGCGGTGCGCCTGCCGCAGTGCGCCGGCCACGGCGGCCATTGGAAGGTGAACCAACGGCAAAGGAAGACCTTTCTCTCTGTCTCTCTCTCTCATTGTCCACTCTGCCTGTCAAAAAAGAAAAAAAGAAAAAGTTGTCCACGTGTATTAATTTTACAATATATTTCCTTATTATTTATACCTTTTATGTCAATATCTCTTAAAACACTGCACAGAGAAACAGTTTTAAAATTTATTTACTTATTTATTTGAGGGGCAGAAAGAGGAACTGAGGGGGAGAAGCAGGTAGACAGAGAGCATGAGCTCCCATCTTCTGTTTCACTCTCCACTTGCCTGGGCCAGGCAAACCCAGGAGCCAGAACACAACCCAGGTCACCCCAGGTAGCTGACTGGGATCCAATTACTTGAGCTATTACTCGTGCCTCCCGGGGTCTGCATTAGCAGAAAGTTGGAATCAGGAAGCAGAGCCTAGAATTGAACCCAGATACTCCAGTGTGAGATGTGATGCCTTACACAGCAAAGTAATCACTAAACTAAGATGAAAGCGTTTTTAAAAAAATATTTATTTGAAAGGCAGAGTTACAGAGAGACTGAGAAGCAGAGAGAGAGACAGAGACAGAGAATTTTTTGTTTGCTGGCTAACTCCCCAAATGGCTGCAATGACCAGGACTAGGCATGGCCAAAACTAGAAATTTCATCTGTGTCTTCCATGTTGGTGGCAGGGACCCAAGCACTTGGGCCACCCTCCACTGCCCTCCCAGGAGCATTAGCAGGGAGCTGGATCAGAAGTGGAGCAGCTGGGACTTGAACCAGTACCTATATGGGTTGCCTGTGCTGTAGGTGGCAGCTTAACCCACTGCACCACAGCACTGCCCTCAACTGAAAACATTTTTAAAGGAAAAAGATACCAATCATAATCCTGCAACCGGGACATAGCAAGCATTTTTATTTATAATTTCCAGGCTCTGCCTTACTGCTGTATTTTGCCTGGATATAACCTCTGTGGATGTACAATTTCAATATATAACTTTTTCACTAAATTTTCTTCCTACTTAATAATTATGTCATCATGTTTATAATGTTCACAGCTAGCTAATGCTCCATGTGGAACTCCTGACCTTTCCCCTAAAACCTGCTCCCCAGCACATTCCCTGTCTCAATTAATGCTTTTTAAAAAAATTTTATTTATTTATTTATTTGAAAGGCAAAATTACAGAGAGAGCAGGAGAGAGATCTTCCATTCACCGGTTCACTCTCCAAACGTACAATGACGGGGCTGGGCCAGGCTGAAGCCAGGAGCTTCTTTTGAGTCTCCCACAAAGGTGGCAGGGGCCTGGGGACTTGGGCCATCTTTTGCTTTCCCAGACACATTAGCAGGGAACTGAATCGAAGTGGAGAAGCTGGGACTGGAACTGGTGCCCATATGGGATTCTGGCACTGCAGGCGGAGGCTTAATCCACTGTGCCACAGCGCAGACCCCTAATTCCTTTCTTGTTCTTCTTTACCCCCTAATCCCAGGGAATCCTATCAGCCCCGCCTTCAACATATACCCAGTGTAGTAGTTTCCTAGAGCTGCAAGAACAAAGTGCCACCAACTAGGTGGCTTAGAGTCACAGAAACGCATTACCTCATAGTTCGGGTATCCAGAAGTCTGAAATTGAGGTGCCCCCGGGACCATGCTGCATATGGAACCTGTAGGGCAGGGTGCTTCCTTGCCTTGTTTCAAGCTGCTGGTCCGTTGTCCCACTGTTATTTGCTCTTATGATCTGTTCTCCACTTCTCTGCCCGGAGCCCTCCAGTGATTCCCAGCTCACTCAGAGTAGCGGACAAAGAGTTTGTGTTGGTCCTCGGGTTCCTCCAGATCTGTTCCCGTCTCATCTCCCACCCCTCTCCCTGGCCTTTGGTGGATCCTGCAGTGTACCAGGCAAATCCCCACCTCCTGGCCTTAGCACTTGCTGTTCCCTCGGCCTCGGATGCTCCCTTGCAGGTGTGCTGCTGGCTCTTACCTCATTCAAGACTTTGCCCAGCGCCACGTCTCGGAGAGGTCTTTCCTGACCACTTCCATTTCATCCCTACTCTGCCTCCCTCCACCAAGTCCCTCTTCCTTTTTGTTATTTTTCTCCTGAACACTCTACGTCTTTTTTTTTTTTTAAGATTTATTTACTTACTTGAAATATGTACATAAATTCAGAGAGACACAGAGATATTCTGCTTGCTGGTTCACTCACCAAATGGCTGCAACAGCCAGGACAGAGCCAAGATAAAGCCCAAAGTCTGGAATTGCATCCCAGTCTCCTTCTTGGGTGGTAGGGACTCAAGCACTTGGGCCATCTTCCTCTGCCTTCCCAGGTGCATCCACAGGCAGCCAGATCAGAAGTGGAGCAGCTTGGACTCGAACTTGTGCTCTCATGGGGGATTCCAGCGTGCCACCACGCCTGCTCCTCTATCTTCTAATAGTCTGTTATTTACATATTTTATTATTTTATTTTTATCCTTTCCTCTCCAACACCATCAGCATCCACAGATAAACTCCTTGAGGACTGAAATGGTTGATATTTTTTTAATCCCCAGCACCCAAAACAGAGCCTGGCACATAGTAGGTTCTCAGTAAATATTTGTGGGTTTAATAATAGCCTAATGTATTTTCTCGTAAGTACTAAATGATTTACTCTTATTAAATGTTCATCTTGTTTCCCAGACATGTTTTTGTCATTGTAAATACTGCTGCTATGAAGACCTATTTTCCCACATACTTCTTTGAGTCACATTTCCAGGGAGAACATTGTCAAATTGCCTGCCAAAAGGGTTTTGTCCCATTTAAAATGTCACCCACGGTCGTAACTGTTTCCATGCTGCCTTGCCACCATTGGGTTTCATCTCATCTCTGTTTTCGCCAGTTTGTAGGTGTAGGTGTGCCTTGTGATCTTTTCAATTTGCAGGTCTTTTAAATACAACCATAATGTGTTCTTTAGTTTAGCTTCTGGTATGAAGTATTTGATCTAGAATCCTGTCTTAATCTTTAGAGGGCAGAGGCCTTGGTTGCACATTTATCCGTCCATACTCTTGTTGGGGAGGCAACCATCTTTATTGATAGTTGTTATAAGTATGCTTCCATTCTACCATTCTCCTTCCTTCTGTTTGCGATTGTGCTTAAATTCTGAATGTGTCTTATTCTCCACAGCTGTGGACTACTGTGCTTCGGAAAATCACAGCTGCGAACATGAGTGTGTAAATGCTGACAGCTCCTACGTTTGCCGATGTCGTGAAGGATTTGCTCTTAACCCAGATAAGAAGACGTGCACAAGTAAGCACACACACATCTGATACGGGGTGGTGGTCATGAACATCTAAGCAATGAAAGAGCATATGACTATGACATGGGGGCCTATGACTTCTGCTGATCTTCCATCAGGCTTGCTTTACTTGTCCTAAAATCATAGCACGCTCCACCTGAATACCACCATCATTCAAGGTGTCTGATGTGGGTCTCGCCAGGGGACTTCGTGCAGGTGTGTCCTCCCAGCATCCAGTGAGCGTGCTGACAATCAGATCCCCCTATGCCCTGCTGACTCAGCCCGACTCTGCCTTCTGTGTCAACAGGGCTTGGGGAATATTTTCCTTGAAGCTTTGTGGCTTGTGGGCCTCAGCTCTGACTCCACACAAATATCAGAAAACTGCTGAGCCAAAGAGAATTGAACATGGTTTCTTCTGGGTAGGGTAGAGATAGGTGGATGATTTGCAGAGAGCTGTTCATTTTTTGTTTGAGCTACTTAGTTCCCTTTGGTTTTAACTATATACTTAAAGGTAAAAATTAATTTTAGCTCCCTAGATTGAAGACAAAAATCTATAAATTCAAGGTGATCACTAGTTTTGCCAAAGGGTTCCAATAGTATTCTTTTTCACATGAAGGCAAATCAGAATACTTAGGGTGTTATGTGGATTATTATCCTCCCATAGGGAGGGTCTCCTGAAAGAAGTTTATTTTTTTAAAGTATTAGGTGCCAGTGTTTTAGGAAAGTAATATTTTATTGAATTTATTAAATTCCAAATAAGATAAGGCATCTTTAAAACATACATCAATAAGATATGGGATTTTAATTCATAAAATGTTCGTGTACCTAAAACCTTTATAAAATGCATCCTTATGTAACCCAGGATACACCTGCACTTTTTAAAAAAAAACATCCCAGGGGTGGGAGCTTGGCAGTTAAGATGCCCATTGGGACACTCACATGCTTCATCAGAAGGCCTGCATTCAAATCCTAGCTCTGATCCCAGTTCCACATTCTGCACAACATCCTGGGAGGCAGCAGGCGATGGCTCAAGTAGTTGGGCTTCTGCCACGCACATGAGAGACCTGGACTGACCTCCTGGTTCATGGCTTTGGTTTGATCCAGCCCCAGCCTTTGCAAGCATCTAGGAGTGAAACAGCAGATGGGAGCTTGCTCTCTGTCTATACATCTGTCTGCCTCTCCAGTAAATAAATAATAACATCCCCCCACCTCCTTCAGTTCTCTACAATTCTTCAATCCCTACATAACAACCTGCTACAAACACCAGATCTGGAGGCAAGGGTGGCGTAGGGAGCAATAAGAGATGCATTAAGCCAACAGCACTTTTCTGGAGGCCAACCATGAACCAGTATGAAATGAACAAGCCCCAGTCCTTCCTGGAGGAGAGGATACCTTGCTGAGTGCTGAAGGCAGAGCTGTCATTCCCAGGACTCCAGGAGAAGGGAGGAGGTGCTAGGATGTGGTGCAGACAGGGTATTTGACATCTCCATGCCCAGCACGTGTCGGGCATCCACTTGTTGGTTTGCTTTGTTTATGGAAAGAATAAGTGAATATGTGAATGGACTGTCCTGTTCTGTGTAGTCTCCCTTCCCTTCCAAACATTCTGAACCATAGACAGTGGCCAAGGCCACGGGGATGGCTGGGGAGCTGTGGTTGCTGGGCTGATGAGGCAGTCCCCCTGCCAAAGTGGGTCCCCATGTTGCCAGGGAGAAGGATGACCTCTGTTTGTATGCTAGCTCTTCTGCTTTTCTTTGGATGAGCTTTGGGCCAGTTGTTATTTTTTTAAACAATTTATTTATTTATTATTTGAAAGGCAGAGTTAGAAGGAGAGACAGAGATCTTCCATCTGACGGTTCACTCGCCAAGTGATGGCAATGGCCAGGGGCCTGGAACTGAGTCTGGGTCTCCCATGTGGGTGGCAGGGGCCCAGGCATTTGGGCCATCTTCCATGGCTTTCCCAGATGCATTAGCAGGGAGCTGGATCCAAAGTGCCGCAGCTAGGACTTGAACACAGCATTCATATGGGATGCTGGTGGCGCAGGCAGCAGCTTAACCTGCCGTACCACAACGCCAGCCCTGTAGGCAAATTATTTATGCTTTAGTTTCCTCAACTCTAATAGGACTGGAAATCCAGCCTACATCACAGCACTGTCTTGAAGATGAAATGAGATTATTCATAGAAACCATGGGAAGGGACTGGTGCTGTGGTGTAGCAGGTAAAGTCAGCGCATGCAGTGCTGGCATCCCATATGGGCACCAGTTTGAGTCTCAGCTGCTCCACTTCCCATCCAGCTCTCTGCTATGGCCTGAGAAGGCAATAGAAGATGGCCCAAGTTCTTGGCTCCTGCACCAATGTGGGAGACCCAGAAGAAACTCCTGGCTTCAGATTGGCCCAGCTCTCGCTGTTGCAGCCATCTGAGAAGTGAACCAACAGGTGGAAGACCTCTCTCTCCCTCTCTCTCTCTGCCTCTGCTTCTCTGTAACTACCTTTCAAATAAATAAATAAATCTTAAAAAAAAAAAGAAAATATATTCTAACTGTATATAAACTATCTTTACAAAAAGAAAGACACCATAGGAAATAGCTTGGTGCTGAGTGTGGCTTTGGATGGGGTGACACTGGCTCCAGAGACTTCAGATTGGTGTTATTGGGCATATACTTCACAACTGGGCTGTTCATACTTCAAGACTTCCACTGAAGTCAGTGCAGAACGCAGGCCACACCCACCCAGCTTAGCTCCGGCAGTGTGGAGTGAGAGGACCGAGGGCCCCAGTGTGATGCTGATACAACCCTGGCAGGAGTTAGGGGGAGAGCAGCTGGACGAGAGCAGGTGGAGATGCCGCCTCGATGGGAGAGGCCTGCAGCAGCTCCCAAGTCCTGCACACTCCCTCCTGCCTTCCCTGGCTGGGATCACCTGACTTCCAGCAAACTCCCAGCTGCAGTCCGCAGAGCTGCACTGTCTTCCCCACGTGGTGGCTCAGCTTGTCTCCCAGCTCCAAATTCCTCAGGGTGTGGAGAATTCCAACCAAGTTCCAGGATGGTGCAGTTAAAGAGGAGGTCTGAGACCTGGAATCACACGGTGGAAGTAGGTACTGCCATGAAGGGGTCATGGGGGAGCTTGGGCCAAGAGACCAGAGGGACCCATCCAGCCATGAGGTCTCTTCACGGGGCCAGCAGCTCAGCTATGCTTGCCCTTCCAGAGTCAAGACTCAGAAGTGGGCTACCTGGATTTGCAGGCACAGCAGTCGTGGGCAGGAAATCGAATGAGGGGTCTTGGCAGGCAGAACCTCAGATACACTTCCCCTAGGAAAGCCCCCTTCCCACTGCACTTGGGAGCAGGCAGGAGCCAGGCCAGGAAGAGGTTTGCGAGAGAAAGGAGATGCTGGGAGCACTTGGGAAGCTGGAGAAAAGAAGACAAAAGCCTGCTTGTAAGAGTGGAGACTTCCCGGAGTGCTCTAGGTTTGTGGTAGGGACTGAGGAACAGGGACAGGGGGCTGTGGCTGCTCAGAGTCAAGGCAGCCATCCTGTTAGCAATTACTGAGGCATCCCATCAGCTTCTAGCCAAGTCAGCCTGGCTACTGCTATGGTGTCGAAAGATTTACAAAAAAGAATTTTTCCACTTCTTATAAACTTGGAAAAAATAAAACAAAATACAAGATATGTAGTTCTGGGGCCGGCACTCAGGTGTAGCAGGTAAAACTGCCACCTGTGATGCCTCGTACCATATGGATGCTGGTGCGAGAGCTGGCTGCTTCACTTCCCATCCAGCTCCCTGCTAGTGCATCTGGGAAAGCACTAGAAGATAGCCCAAGTGCTTGGGCCCCTGAACCCACATGGGAGATCTGGAAGAAGCTGCTGGCTCCTGGCTTCAGCCGGGCCCAATCCTAGCTATTGTGGACATCTGGGGAGTGAGCCAGTGGGTGGAAGACCTCTCTCTCTCTCTCTTTCTCTCTCTTTCCTTCTGTCTCTGTACCTCTGCCTTTCAAATAAATGAAATAAATCTAAAAAAAATAAGATATGTAGTTCCTTAATTTCCAATTTGTATTTTTTAAAAAGATTTATCTATTTACTTGAAAGAGTTAGAGAGAATCTTTTATCCACTGATTCACTTCCCAAATGGCTGCAACAGCCAGGAGCCAGGAACTTCTTCTGCATCTCCCAAATGAGTACAGGGTTCCAAGCAGTTGCGCCATCTTCTACTGCTTTCCCAGGTGCTTTAGAAGGGAGCTGAATCAGAAATGGAATAGCCAAGACTCAAACCAGCGCCCATATTTGATGCTGGCACTGCCACACCAGTTTCTATTTTTAACCAAAAATGTATTTGAAAGCTTGTGATTTATAAGTGTAAAATTATTGTCCAAAAAGGGTAGTCTAGTCACTGTAATATACCAAGCCTGGCTAATGTATTGTGTGTTTTTTTTAAGGATTTATTTATTTATTTGAAAGGCAGAGCTACAGAGAGGGAGAGGCAGAGGCAGAGGCAGAGAGAGGTCTTCCATGTACTGGTTCACTCCCCAGATGGCTGCAATAGCTGGTACTGTGCCAATCCAAAGCCAGGAGCCAGGAGCTTCTTCCAGGTCCCTCATGTAGGTGCAGGGGCCCAAGCACTTGGGCCATCTTCTTCTGCTTTCCCAGGCCATAGCAAAGAGCTGGATCAGAAGTGGAGTAGCTGGGACTCGAATCAGCCATATGGAATGCTGGCACTGCAGGCGGTGGCCTCACCTGCTATGCCACAGCGCCGGCTCCACTAATTTACTGTTAATTCACAATGTACATAAGTTAAATTTTATGTTCCTAAACAGTTAATATAATTTAAAATATTTGAATAGTGTTCACAAAACACTTTTTATAACAAGTCCCATCCAAATCTATCTGCATATTCTCTTGAGTGGAGAAGTGTGGAAACACATCAGACCAATCAATTTATAAAATACTGGCAAGGCTTTTTTACTGTGGCAAAATATGCATACTATAAAATTTACCCCTGCAGCCATTTTCTCAGAGTACAATT